GAGTTCTAGTCTAATAAAATATATCTTTATGCTGCAGAGGCTTTTATTGATCATTTTATCGTGGTGCTGCAAGCTCACATATATGTTGAAGCAAAAATATGACTTTCTGGAGTCCTAAGGCTTTTAGGGCTTAAAATTTTTCTGCTAGATGAATTTGCAATTGAATTATTATTAATATAATTGGCCCATATAACATAAACTTATTCTAAAAAGTGAAGAAATAATTATTGAGCATAAAAAGTAGCATTTTATTGGACTGCATCTCTTAATAAGGTGAGCAGGGCTTTTAAACAAGGCTGTTTGAAAGGAGGAAATTACCTATTACCATAATGATACAGCGTTCAGCATTAATTCTGCTCCTATTTTTAATTTTTTTTCTGGATGTAAGTTCTGAGAAACCTTGATAACACAGGAATAGATAGAAGTGGAAGAGGTTTGTTACAGCGATGTCATGCAGTTACATGCTAAAAATCACACGGAGATTTGTCAGAAAATTGATATTTAATGATCTAGGAGCTGACAACTCAATCAGGTCCTGCCGTGACATTGTTAAAGCAAAGAATTGGAAGCTACTGGACTTGTGGAAAGATGTACCCCCAGGCTACAGGGTCATTCATTTTCTCAACACTCCACTACTTAAAAGGGCCCTTGGTGTGATGCCCCAGCGGAGAGAGGTGGGCTTTTCTTTTGTAGGGGGGGCAGGTAACGGAAGGAGAGGAGAAAGGAGAGAGAGCAGGATGCTCAGAGCTCCTCTGGGTGGGCACCAGGAACGTGCTCAAATCTGATTTAGAAAGAACTCGTGGAGATTTGAGAACCTGGAAACTGACGCCCCTAAGGCTGGCCCCAGAGGCTTTGGGGTACTCGTACCCCACTTTGATCTCTGCTCCAGACAACAGGGCTGAGTTGATCACGGTCAGTGGGGGACTCGGGGCAGGTTTGCCGAGGTGGCTGGGCTTTGCAGAGACCCGTGAAGAGGGGGTGCAGTTTGGACAATGGGGAGAGGGAGAAAATGTCATGAACTGGTTGAAAACACGGGCCTGGAAGTTACAGGTCCCTCCCAATCCTGGCCCCACCCGGCCGCCGAGTCTCGGGAGCTCTTCACCTTGCCCTGTGGCCTCTGCTGTGGGGGTCCGGCTCAGGGACCTCCAGCGCCCTTGCTCACGTGCAGAGGGGGGCCAGGGCAGCATGGACAGCCTCAGGACCTGACAGACACCCCGACAGACGTGGTTTCGGGCCAGCTTGGTCCTCGGTGCCCCAGGTGCGGCCCCTGTTCCCAGCAGTGTCCTTCGCGTCTCGTGGCCATGCCCCTAACGCCTGCTTTTCGGGCCTGTGGCTTGGGTGGTACCTCTCTCCCGCACTCCTCTCTCTGGGGCTCGCTTCCCTTCGGCAGGCACAGCGTGGAGCTAGAGTTGAATGCCACCGCTTGTCCCTGTTTCACTTGGGTGTGGGCTGGCTGCCCTCTCGTGGTGCATGTGGGCAGGATTTGCACTGCTCGCCAGTGTCGGTGCCCTACGTCTGCGCCCACAGGGGGACTGCACTCTGTCCTCTGGGAAGCAGGCACGGTCATGTGACTTCCTGCAGCCAGTGAAATGGGAGCCGAAGTCGTAGTTGTCACTCAGAGGTGAAGGCGGTCACTTGCCGGGGCTCTACTGTCTGATTAGTAATTGTGGGGCACCAGGTGGACATAGCCTTGGGTCTAGATCTGCAGAGGGCTGCCACTGCCCTGGAGAGGTGGCCTGGGCTTGGGGGGACTTGAAATGAATTTCTGACGCGTAATGCTACTGGGAGTTTGGGACTGTTTGTTTCTGCAGCATAACCCAGCATGTCATGACTAACAGCAAGGGGTGGTGTTTTTGCCTTTTAGGAATCAATATTCATTTTTCACCTAGAGTGTTTATTTAAGCCCTATCCAGTTTGGCTCAGGTTAGAGCATTGACCCATGGACTAAAGAGTCCCGGGTTCGATTCTGGCCAAGGCCACATACCTTGGTTGCAAGCGCATCCGAGCCCTGGTCTGGGTGCGTGCAGGAGGCAGTCAATTGATGTGTCTCTCATCAGTGTTTCTCTCTCTCCCTTTTCGACTCTCTCTGAAAAGCGATGGAAAAAATATCCTCAGGCGAGAATTAAAATGCGTGCGTGTGCGCGCACACACACACACACACACACACACAAACATTAAAGTATTCGTTTAAGTTTTAAGAGGTAGCGCCTTAGAAATGCCCAGTCAATTTTAGGACAAGTCCTAAACCCATCAGGTAATCCCCATGAAAGCGAAACAAAAATTGCTGAAATTTGGGGAAGGTGGGTGAAATGTGCCACAGAAGAAAGTACCAAGTGCCCGGGGCAGTCTTGGCTTTCGGGGGCAGGTGGACGGTCCGTGCTTGATCCTGTGTGCTGTGCGGAGACTGGGCGTGGGTTTCTGCAGGGAGACGAGCCGCTGAGTCTGGTTAAAGGTCCGAGGAGGGACTGAAGCTGCAGGTGGAGCCTGATGTAGTGGGATTTTATTGAAAATACTGCAGAGAAGAGTTAGATGGATAGACATAGATACGAATCTAACTCTCTTGGAAAATGCTTCCAGACAGTTACCCACTGGGCTTTTCTATTATCCCTACGAAATTGGGCCTGATGTAGTTTCTCACGTTTGCTTGCATGCAGGGGGGAGCCATTCACCACGCCAGCCTGAACGCCGGAGCTGAGCACAGCCATGGTGACAAATGGCACCATGTTTGACCAGAAAGTGAAGATTGATCCACACATTCTGGACATGGGCAATGTGGGAAAATATTTTAACAAGCGACCTGCAAGGGTTTCTGCTCTTCTCTCCCACGCCCCGTAATTGTTTTGGGTGAATCATTGCTGCTTGCGCAAGTTTTAGCCGAGCCACCTTAGGCAATTTTTACATAATATTTATAAAACCTTCCTGTAATTGTGACTCATGGTCATGCTTAGACTCGGAATTTTGTTAGAGCTGAACATTTCAGAGAGAAAGGGCCTGAGTGATGGTCAGCCTTGCTGAAAATTGAGTTACAGAAGCAGCGGGGTCAAGGCTGCCGTTCCCTCAGATGCCCTTAGTCACCGGGGCCCCAGAGACAGAGACGCTAATTTCATTTCTTATATATCTCCCTCCCTTCATCTTTTTGGAATTAAAAAAGCAATAATGTATATGTGCTTGCCAGAATATTCAAACATTACTCAAATGTACAAAAAGTGCAAGTTTTCTTACCTCCTCCCTCCCCACCATTCCCATCTTGTGGATGTGACCGCTCTTAACCCTTTAGTGTGTAGTCTTCTAGGCCTTTCTATAGGAACACATGGGTGTTTTATTTATTTAGCTGATTACAATTATGTTTTTCCTAAAGTAATACATAGTCAGTATGGAAAATACACAAAAGCATTTTTTTACAAAGACACATTCCCAACGTTTTTACCTATATATTTGCACTTAAGAAAAAAATGATATCATGACATGACCCTATGGACTGTAACACTTTCATTGCCATTTTTCCTATAAGGGTATTTGGGCTTAACTCACCTGAGGTCACACAGCCTACAGGTGACTTAGCAGGGACTTGAACCCAGGTTTGTCTGATTTCAGGGCCCATGTCCTTGAGAGCTGCGCCATACTGTTTGTATGTATTGCTTATTTGATGAAAGAACTAAGAGTTGCATGTAACAAATGCTAAAGGCAGCCAGGAAGCATTGATCATCTGTGCCTGGGGCAGTAAGCACAGGCTTTCGGCAGGAGGGGGCCCTTTGAAAAGTCAGTTCTTTTTTAAGAAAATAATTTTAGAGAGAGAAAGGGAGAGAGAGACATCGGTGTGAGAGAGAAATATGAACCCGCAATGCAGGTATGTACCCTGCGCAGGAATCATGGAACCGCCACCTCTCCTTGTGCGGGACCACGCTCCAACCAACTGAGCCACGTCGGCCAGGGCCTAAAGCCAGTTATTGACTAAGAAAGAGAAGGGCCTTCGTTGTTCACGGTCCGGAATCACCTCCCAGATCTCCTGGAAACTCGAATTCTCCTGGGAATCTCAGATTGTTTGAAGATGTAGTTTAGTTTTCGAGGCAGATCTGATTTTTTACTACCTCCCTCCAGAACTCCTGCGTTAAGCAGTAGGGTTTTCATCTTCATTCAAGCACAAATGCCAATAATTAGAAATAGAAATGCCTTTTAGAACAGGGCCTTTGAGAGCATCTACTGCCTGCCATGTTCTTTCCTCATTTAAAAAAAATCCTCACCTGAGGACATGCTTAGGGAGAGGAAAAGAGAGAGAGGGAGAGAGACATCAGCCTGCTGTTCACCCATCCATGCATCATTGGTCGACTCTTGTAAGTACCTTGACCAGAGATCGAACCCGCAACCTTGGTGTATCAGGATGACACTCCAACCAACTGAGTCACCCGACAGGGCTCTCCTCCAGCTCTAACTGTTTTGCTCTTCATGGTCTCTCGGGGTTCAGGCCCTTGGGTTACTGTATATCCCTCATGGTTCCCCTATGTCTATGTTTTTGAATACATTACACCTCTGCGGATAAATCTTACTTGAATTATCTTAATTTGAATGGTGTATCTGTTTTCTGCAAGGGTCTCACCCAGTTGCAAATAATAAATATCCACTCTCGCTGTGATGTGCACCCCCAGCGCGAACCTCCCACGTTCAGAACCTTCAGCTGGTTCCTTTGCAACGTGGAGTCCGTGGTGGTGTCTGTCGAGGGGTGAATCCTAGCTGAAGGATTCTCCACCTCGGTCACATCCAAGAGGATTTTTCCAGTCTGAAATCTTTGATGTACAATGAGGTTTTTGTTAAGGTTTCCCGCAGTGATTACATTCCTCAGGCTTCTCCCCAGTGTGACTCTTATGACACCTAATGAGATGTGACTCCTGCCCAAGCTTTTCCCATTTGATCGCATTCACAGGGTGTCTCAGTGGCACTAATTTTGTTCTTGGGTGAGAGATGAGCTACTGATTTCTTCCCCCTTGGATTCATTACCTTCATAGTGGTTGTCTCTACCAGAAATTTCAAGGAGTATGAAAAAGTTTGACTCCTGACTGAAGGCTTCCCACAGGGACAACACTCACAGGGTTTGCTCCAGCATCTCTGACCCACGGCAGAACCATTTCCTCTGCATTACGGCTGGACGACATTTTCACTCATGAACAACCAAGTCTGGATCAATCCGTTCCAAGTGCGCCACACTGACGGCTGTTTTCTTTCTTGGAGAAGTAAGTTCGGAAGTTAAACCTTCAGAGTCTTCTTCGGAAAGCACAGAACCTAGAGAAAGTGGAAACGGCTGGCCCATCCGTTTCGGTTAAACCCTCCATCGTTACGTAGTCTCTTCTGCTCTTGGAAGTGGAGACATCATAGAAGTCACCCTTTCTTTGGGCATAAGGGCCTAGGAGAGATTTAGTTTCCCAAACCTTGAGACACTCCTTGGGAGCCTCGGTTCTGTCCTGAAATCCGGTTGCAGGCCTCAGGGCAGAGGGGTCTCCTCTCCAGAGAAACCCCTGCCCTGGCCTCATGAGAGTCTGGTTTTCCCTGTGGCAGAGGCTACCATCCCTAGGCCCTGAGGCCGGCCGAGGAGCCCTCCCGCAGCCCACCTTGCAGCCTACCGCATGCACAGGTCACGCAGGCTCGCCTGCAGTGAGGCCAGGCAAAAGGGGGCCCTTACATATATATTTTTCTTCTCTTATTGCAGGTGAAGATGTTGCTAAACTTTCTACCACTAAAAACCATGGCTCCTCTTCTCTTCATCTTCCAGTAATGATGCCTTCCCAGTTCTTGCAGACTCTGTCTCCCTGAAGCCTTCTGGCCTTCACCTGCTATCTGGTCCCAAAGCCAGTGCACCAGTTCTAAGCTTTGTCACGGAAACATTCCACATCTAGGTGCCATTTTTGGTCATGATCTTCTACTGCTGTGTAACAAAACCCCGATTATTAGTGGGTGAAAACGACACCTTACCATCGTATCTCCCTGTGTTTCGAGTTAGCTGGGCTCACCTGGATGTCTTTCACGGATCTCCTTTAGGGTCCCTCAGGCACTTGCAGTCAGGTGGAAGCTGAAGCTGGAGTCATCTAGCGGCTCGATCGGGTTGGAAGGTCCAAGCCGCCTCTTTCCTTTTATGTCTGTTGCCTCATGATCTCCCATGTGGTTTCTCTCCAGCAGGGTGGCATCTGGGTTCCAGAGAGCACAAAGCAGGCACCTTCTAAAGTCTTCGAGCTACACTTGGCAGAACATCGCTCCCTCGCATTCCGCTGGCTGAGCTGAGTGCCAGGAGCAGCCGATTCAAGGGGCTGGCAGTACACGGGCGTGAGCACCAGCAGCCGCAGCTCAGCCGGGGCTCCTGCTGAGGACCAGCTCTCAGTACGAAGCTGCAACAAAGCGCGGCAGTCCTGCACCCCTTCTCACCTCCAAGCTCCCCAGAAACAACGGCTCCCGACTCTGCCTAGCGTTCCCCCTGGTATTTATTTCCATATTTCCAAATCACATGCCCATATTGTAATTTTTGATTTTTGAATATTAGATGCTAACTATGAACTTTCTACTCTGGAAGGTGAGGATTTAACATTCTTCTCACTCCATCACCCCATTACAATATGGTTGTCACAAATTTTCATTAAAGCCCTCTTCAGTGTATGTTTTATATGATTATATTAATATTATTCACACTGGAAGGGTGCAGTGTGCCTTTCTGTACAATTTTTCTCCCTGGGGTAAATATTTGCCTCTTTCTGTTTGCTTAATTTTTCCTGTACTAACACAAATGCTCCCCAAAACTCTCTGATAGGACTACAACAGACCCTCTCACCACCGTCGATCAAATGCATTAGATAATCCATGTATGGGTCCACTTGCACTGCAGTGGTTTACAACAATGTCTGTCTTCCTGTGTCCAAGGGCCCATTTAATCACTCTGTGGAGGCTCTCACCCAGGACACTGCCCATGAACCCCCGTCTAAGTGGAGACTGGATGACCCATCTTTGCTCTTCTGGCTGCGCCCAGATCCCATGGTGGGCACCCAGTATAGGTGACTAACAGGATCCCCGATGCATAGCCCTGTCCCTGCCCAGGGACACCCACCCTGCTTGCACCCACTGATGGGTTGGACAGAATCCTGTCTTTGATAGGTTGTGTGTGTTATGTGACTTAGAGAAGTCACATAAATCTTGGTGGCTTTGTGTCTGCTGTGGGGAGAGATCATGATATTTCAAAGATCTTCAATAAGGTTCAGTGAGACATCATTGCCTCGCTATATACACACCTGAGAAAGTGCCACTGGAAGCCACCTGAGGGCACCTGTGCAATTGCAGGTGGGATTCGGGCTGTACTCCTTGCCCACCTCAGGAGTAATTACCCGAATTTGCATAGTGTATATATTTTTAGACTTTTTAGAACTAGTTTTTATACTCATAAAGACATGTAGAATCACTTAGTTTTTCTACATGTGCGTTTTAACAGAAATGGTAGCACTGTTGGCCTTTTTCTGTAACCTGGGTTTTTTCGCTTCTTTTGCAGCTCTTTCATGCTAGCTCACATTTCTTATGAATGCTGTGGGTGTTTCACAGCGCTGCTGTGTCGGAGGTCATCCAAGCACGCCCTTGTCGTTCCTGTTTAGGTTGTTTCCAAATTTTCACTGCTCAGAGCACGGCTGGGATGAATTGTTTCATAGGTGTCTCTTTACGCACCTGTCCTTTTTTCCTGGGGGGCAGATACAAGAGTGGGCACACTGAAATTTTGGCAGATGGAGCCAAACTCTGCTCCCTGAAGTCTGCCAGTGCACACTCTACCCACAGAGGGTCCCTGTGACCCTGTGCTGGGCAACATAGGATGCAATTCATTTTTTCTATTTTGGCTAGTCTGGGGTAGAAAACCGCATTTTGTTGTGCTTAGCTTAGTGGTTAAAAAATTTTTTTTTTTTAAAAAAAAAAAAAGCTGGTACAAACTGTTCTTCACATGAAACCTGACGTTTCAGGAGAGGCAGAGAATCTTGGTTAGGACCCCAGGCTTAGGGCTGGAGCTCTGGTTCTTCTCCAGGGGCCTCCAGTCCCTCACTGGAAACCTAACCTCTCTGGCTCTCAGCTTCTCCTCTGTCAAGTGGAGACACTGGGAGTAACTTATCTCCCTGAATTGGGTGAGGACTGCATACGTTAACATACAAAGCCCTCAGGACAGCACATGGCATGTAGTGGGTGCTACTAAGGTATTTTTAGATTTTTAGATAGAGCTGTGTTCAATATTTTTTCAGCCCAGCAGATAAAACACAGAATCGGTGCAGGGATGGGGGTTTTGATAACCTTGCTTTTGTGTCGCCAGAGCATCTCAGAACTCAACTTAAGAGCTGCTGATGAAATTCAACCTTTCCATTTTACAGACAGGAAAACTGAGACCACGTGGAGGTCATCCAGCTGCCCTGGGTCACAGAACCTGCTGTGTGACCCTGGATGAGAACCCAGCCTCCTGTCCCTGTACCCCTCAACTCAGCCAAGTATTATTTGTGGATAAATCCCAGGAGGGGACCCCTCGCCTTGCCTCTAAGACATGAGGAATTTCAGCCAGGGCTTTCAGATAAAAACACAAAAATGAGGATTTGGTACACAAAAGCCCAGGGATCCCCGAGTGTCCCACACATGACTACAAGTGGATCCTAAGGGTGGCGTTAACTCTTTCAGATGGTAAGTTTTGCTTCAGGCAGCTCTCTGTGGGCCCTTGATAAGAAGGAGAAGCTGCAGGTTCCAAATGACAAAGGGACAGTGTGTTTCAGATTTAGCATCTTTGCTCTGAAAGGACTCTCCTGATCCAGTGGCCTGTACCTGTCTGGGTGGTGTGCTCCCTGCACACAAGTACAGGGCGCAGGCAAGGCAGGCACCCACGCTCAGAGCAGCTTCGGAAACTGCTCGAAACACTGAAAACAGAAATTTTGCTGGCTTAATGGCTAATGGCTTATGCGACAGTTTCACTGGGTAGGACAGTCTGACCTTGTGTTTTGCAGGAGAATGTATAATTATTAAGGTATTTTTCCCAGGCGGCAGCAATCACTGCGTGTTCCATTTAATTCGATTAATTTTTTTGGTGTACTGAGAAGTTAGTTAATAATGATCCAGTCATAGAAATGTAAAGCCAGGCAGATTGTGCGTTTTTTTCTTTTCAGAAGTTTAGATTTTTGCATGAAAAGAGGCCTGTCCATTTTATCAAAATTGCTCTTGGACAGTCAAACATTTTAGACTGTGAGGCCTGATAATTTTCTTTTTTAAACACATGCTAGCTTTTCCTTTTGACAATGGTTTAAGCGTTCAAATCCTTTAATAATTTATTTTTTTATTACGGAACGACTGAGAGGTTTTCCCAGCCCTGGCTTATGAGTCACATTCTTGTGCCACGGTGGAGACAGCTCGGCTCTGGCTCCGACCGGGTGCTAGTCTTGGCATCGCCCCTTGCTAGCTGTGTGACTCTGGCCAAGTCACTTGCCTCTCTGAACCTCAATATGAGCATCGAAGAAATGAGAATGATTTCTGTGGGTTTGGAGCTGAGGTGAAATGAAAGGAGACAGGGACAGCCATTCAGAGCTGTGTGTCATGGTTAGCACCGTGATGGCGCCAGGTCCCAGGAAGCAGTGGCGGTTTGGGATGAGGTCTGGGATGACACTTAGCTGGTGGGCAGCAGACTCAAGGTCTGCACGCCCTCATTCTGATTCCATAACACAAGCTCTTTACTAAAGGATGACATGTGCTTCCTGGGCCCGTTTTCGGTCAGTCAGTGGTTGGGTCTCAGGACTTGGGCACAGAGCATGGCCACTCCCGAGTTGCCCGTCTTTGGCCTGGTTACTTACTCACTCTGCACCTCCATTTTCTTACTTATAAAAGGGGGGGGAAAGTGTCTACTTCCAAGGGTGTGAAGGGAATGAAATAAACATTAAGTTAAATACATTAGTGCACTTACAGCACGTGGGACAGTGCCCAGAGCACAGTGGGCACTCGGTGAACGTTACCTCTCTCTCCTGCCCCTGACGTCACAGCACGCACAGTGAAGGTGCTTTAGAAACTGCGTATTAGTGCTACAGGCCCTTCCCGAGCAGAGTGCTGGGCTTGGGCAAAGACAGAGTGACAGAAGCTCTGGGTCTCTACATAGAGAAAAAGTTACAGCTGCTCTTTGTTCTCTGCAGTTCCTCTTGGTTACACCAACGTGATGTGAGGAAGTGCCCTGTGCATGGAGGAAAACAGGTAGCGGAGTTTTGTTGGACTCAGCAAAGCTGCCCGGACCTTTGCAATGTGAAGTTCAAAGGCAGGAGGGCCAACTGGCATAAGAAGCCCTGGAGCCTTCTGGAAGGAAAAGGTTAACAGAACTGCCTCTCCCTGGGATTTAGCTGGGATGACCTGCTTTGTATATGGGTTGGGGCTCCCACAGAGATCCAGGAGCGGGGAAGAGAAAGAGCCCCAGGAAATGAAACAGCTATGGGGGTAGGGTTGCTGGATTTAACAAATAAAAATATATCTCATTTAGATTAAAGATGGCAGTGGACTGAGTGGAAGCTACACTGACACTCTCCCCAGACCAAACTGGAATTACAACTAAAATGCAGAAAAACCATCCTGAATAATCAACTGTAACTGAAGACGAGCTGGAGAGCACCCTCATAACCAAGGAGAAAAGGGGAGACGGCATAGGAACTGGAAGGAAGTACGGAGGTGCGAGAGGGCTGGCTGGGCTCCCACAGGCGGCAGCTGAAGGTCAGGAGGGAGATCTCAGCTGTGGGGGTTCCCGCCNACAGGCAGCAGCTGAAGGTCAGGAGGGAGATCTCAGCTGTGGGGGGTCCCGCTGAGGACTCTGGGGCCTAAACCCTTGGCTGGGCTGCCCAGGCCAGAGCACCAGCACTGAGAAAGGTGCCCACCTAACATCTGGCTGTGAAAAGCAGCCAGGTTTCTGTCTGCCAGGGAGAGAGGGTGGAAATGCAGGCCCCCTCTTAAAGGGCCAACACACAAAGTTTCGTGTGCAGCCACTCACCTTGGGCTCCAGCAGAAGGAGGGCGGAGTGGGCTGGAGCTGTGTGAGGAGAACCTAGGGCTGTGGGCTCTGGAGATAGAGCTCAGAGGGCACCCCTCTGATTTCCTTTGCTGAGTAGTTTCCCCATAGTGCAGAGGCAGACATTTACCTTCCAAGCAGCTTTTGCCTGAGGGGTAAGCAATTGCCCCACCCTGCTGGAAAACTTCTCCCCTTACCCTGTGGAGTTTCTACAGCCTGAGGCTCAGGAAGAGAATCAGATTACTCAGCCTGCAGGCAGAGGCAGACCTCAGAGTGCTTTGACTCTTTGCCTGATCTGCTTCTGGACCTGGGCCTTGGAAAAGCAGACTTTGGTGTGCACCTTGATCCTGTCTAAATGCACCCATTCCCAACAGAAGGGACCTCAAGTTGAGGGTTGTTGATAGCTCCAGACAGGGCACTCAAGGCCAGGGTACAAACAGCATCTGACATTGGCCTGCACCAGAGACCTTCCAAAAAGACTGAGTGTCCTAGCAGGCCTACCTAATACATAGAAACAAACTCAAATAGGCAGCCAAAATGGGGAGATAGAAAAACAAGCCCCAGATGAAAGAACAAGAGAAGTCTCCAGAAAAAGAGCTAAATGAAATGGAGATAAGCAATCTATCCGATATAGAGTTTAGAATACTGATGGTAAGGGTGCTCAACAGCATGAAAAAAGATATGGAAACTATGAAAAATGACCAGTCAGAAATGAAGAATGACCTAGCAGAAGTGTGGTGGAGGCCTGGGGTGGGGGGGTGGATGCAGGTAGAGGGAATCAATGGGGAGAAAAAGGNTGGAAGGAAGTACGGAGGTGCGAGAGGGCTGGCTGGGCTCCCACAGGCAGCAGCTGAAGGTCAGGAGGGAGATCTCAGCTGTGGGGGGTCCCGCCGAGGACTCTGGGGCCTAAACCCTTGGCTGGGCTGCCCAGGCCAGAGCACCAGCACTGAGAAAGGTGCCCACCTAACATCTGGCTGTGAAAAGCAGCCAGGTTTCTGTCTGCCAGGGAGAGAGGGTGGAAATGCAGGCCCCCTCTTAAAGAGACAACACACAAAGTTTCGTGTGCAGCCACTCACCTTGGGCTCCAGCAGAAGGAGGGCGGAGTGGGCTGGAGCTGTGTGAGGAGAACCTAGGGCTGTGGGCTCTGGAGATAGAGCTCAGAGGGCACCCCTCTGATTTCCTTTGCTGAGTAGTTTCCCCATAGTGCAGAGGCAGACATTTACCTTCCAAGCAGCTTTTGCCTGAGGGGTAAGCAATTGCCCCACCCTGCTGGAAAACTTCTCCCCTTACCCTGTGGAGTTTCTACAGCCTGAGGCTCAGGAAGAGAATCAGATTACTCAGCCTGCAGGCAGAGGCAGACCTCAGAGTGCTTTGACTCTTTGCCTGATCTGCTTCTGGACCTGGGCCTTGGAAAAGCAGACTTTGGTGTGCACCTTGATCCTGTCTAAATGCACCCATTCCCAACAGAAGGGACCTCAAGTTGAGGGTTGTTGATAGCTCCAGACAGGGCACTCAAGGCCAGGGTACAAACAGCATCTGACATTGGCCTGCACCAGAGACCTTCCAAAAAGACTGAGTGTCCTAGCAGGCCTACCTAATACGTAGAAACAAACTCAAATAGGCAGCCAAAATGGGGAGATAGAAAAACAAGCCCCAGATGAAAGAACAAGAGAAGTCTCCAGAAAAAGAGCTAAATGAAATGGAGATAAGCAATCTATCCGATATAGAGTTTAGAATACTGATGGTAAGGGTGCTCAACAGCATGAAAAAAGATATGGAAACTATGAAAAATGACCAGTCAGAAATGAAGAATGACCTAGCAGAAGTGTGGTGGAGGCCTGGGGTGGGGGGGTGGATGCAGGTAGAGGGAATCAATGGGGAGAAAAAGGGGGATATCTGTAATGTTTTCAACAATAAAGATAAATTAAAAAAAAAAAATCTCATTTAAATCCTCTTATTTGTTCCCTATGTAGGGTTGCAAAACAAAATCAATGGCGAATAATTTTTTATTATAAATATGTCCCATTCAATATTTGGGATATATTTATATTGAAAAAGTATAGGTTGTTTATCTGAAACTCAAATTGGACTGGACATCCTCTATTTTACCTGGCAACCTACATAGTGGGTGAAAGGACTCAGGGTTTAGGTTGCTGGAAAGGAGGCCGAGCTGTGGGAGCTCTGTGCCCTGGGAATTTGCAGGCAGGGGTTTGGTCCATGATGTAGTGGAAGGCTGGGAGGCTTTGGGGGTACATGTTGGAGGAGTGGGGTTCCCCATGTAGTCATTCCTGGTCTTAAAGAGCTTGCATCTAATTCCTTCTTGGAGATGAGTGTGAGCAGGACTGACCCATCCCTCCCCGACACTAATAAAAGTACAAGGCATTGGAGTATCTTCAGGAGGTGGTCTGGACTTCCTGCTAATACAGGTAGCTGAGTTACTGAACATCGCATTCTGGAGCAGCAGGCACAGCGCCTCATTTAATTTGTCTATTTCTTTTGCAGCTTTACCTTTTTAAACAATTTTATTGAGATATAATTTACATACCATAAAATCCACCCATTTTAAGTGTACTATCCTTGGTTTTCAGTAATTTTACTAAGTTGTGTAATGATCTGTTTTTACTCACACTTCTGACACAAATGTTTGTTTTTTTCCCCTACACCAACCAATTTTCCAACTCTCCAGACACCAGCTGGTATCCTATGATTCAATTCAGTTCTCATGCTAAGTACCCAGAATTAGTGTGGAGCCCATAGACTTAAGGGCTCAGTCCCATAAGACTGCGCCTAATTTCAGAGGCCAGTCCCAGATTGTCACCTGTGCTTCTGACTGATCAGGTATAAATTGGGGGTTCTCACAACCCCTTCTGCAGAGTTTTTAAAAAAATCCTGACCTGGGGATATTTTTTCCATTGCTTTTCAGAGAAAATGAAAGGGCAGGGGGAAAGAGAGAGAGAAACATCGATGTGAGAGAAACACACAGATTTGTTGCCTCCTGCAATGTGCCCCAACCAGGGCTGGGAATTGAGCCTGTAACCGAGGTACATGCCCTTGGCCAGAATTGAACCCCGGACCCTTCAGTCTGCGGGCCGATGCTCTAACCACTGAGCAAAACCGGCTAAGGCCCCTCCGCAGGTTTGATAGTTCACTAGAATGACTCAGAACTCAGGAAAGTGCTTTACTTACACTTGCTTGTTTATTATAAAGTATATAACACAGGCACAGCCAAGTGGAAGAGATGCATGGGACAAGGTATGTGGGAGGGGTGTAGAGCTTCCATGTGCATTCTGGGTACGTCACCCTCCCAGCGCCTTAACATGTTCACCAACCAGGGAAGCTCCTTGCACCCTCTCATTGTGGACTTTTTATGGGGGTTCTCATTGCATAGACACAATTGACTAACTCACTGGCCAATGGTGACTGACTCACCCTCCAGCCCCTGTTCCCACTCCAGAAGTCAGGGGTTTGGGCTGAAAGTCCCAATCCTTTAATCCTGCCTTGGTCTTTCTGGCCACCAGCTCTCATCCTGAAGCTATCTGCCCCCATCATGAGTCATCTTGTTAACATACAAACCTACTCTTACACTCTGGAGATTCCAAGGGTTTAGGAGCCGTGTGCCAAGAAGCGGGGATGAAGACCTAATATTGATTTTTTTACTGTATCACATACATTCTCACCCCACAACTCAGTTTTAGGGTACTCTGTCATCCCAGTAAGGTTTCTTGTACTTGTTTACCGCTAATCCTCATGCCCACCCCCAGCTCCAGGCAACCACTAGCCTACGTCCCGTCTCTGTGACTTTGCCTTTTCTAGATATTTTGTATAGATGGAATCGTACAAAATCTAGTCTATTGTATCTGGCTTCTTTCACTTAACACAACGTTTTTGAGGCTCATCTATGTTGTAAGCACAGTTCATCCTTTTCCGGCGCAGTAATATTTCGTTAGGGTGGATGTTTATCCCTTCATNTCTATGTTGTAAGCACAGTTCATCCTTTTCCGGCGCAGTAATATTTCGTTGCGTGGATGTTTATCCCTTCACNGGATGTTTATCCCTTCATCAGTGGATACGCTATTTGGGCCTTCTCATGTTCTGGCTTTTCTGAATAATGCTGCCGGAACATCTGCGCGGATAACCTAGTTATTTTTAATATTGATCTGGGTGTGTGACTTGGGATGGAGGAGGGGAGTTTCAACATGAAAGTGGTATTTGAGGAAATGATCCACTCGTTTTCACTTTATGCTGTGGTATTTATTTTTTAACCCTTACCTGAGGATATTTCCATTGCTTTTCGGGGGTGGGGTAAGGCGAGAGAGA